GATCTGCTCTCTCAGAAAACAAAACAAAACAAAACAAAAACAAGTCAAATAGGTTAACATAGAATATCTCAAATCAAAAATCTGAGAGTGATTCCTTTAATAAATGTTGCTATTAACAAACCAGTTCTGTTAATAAATATAACTGAGAGGTGACATTTTTATAGGAATTGATTCATTACATGAATAAACATAACTAATATGTCCAACATTTCAGCCATGACTTCGGTTGTGACAGAGAGGCTGGTAAAGGCAATCTTACAAATATCCAAATTGGATAAAGACCGTTGAAGAAACAAAACTGTTGGTGGCTCCTTTCTTTAGAGTCTGAAGTTCATGCTTAGTTAATCAAAGATATTGCACATTGTATCTAATGTAAACTATTTTGGGCCATATTCACCACTGCCTTGCAGCTTGCAAGGTAGAATCCACATTTATATCTGTGCTGAGTGAGTGCAGAGTGGGTGTAAAAGGCTACCAAATCAGAATGACAGTGCCTAACCACCCACTTGGCACAGGTGTAAATGACTAGACAAGGTGCAAGGCAGTGGGCAGGCCTTGTACATGTTAAAAAAAGCCAAGATGAAAAACAATATTGGCCATGAAGGAAAAGGGTTAGCTATTCAAGGGTCTGATCCAATTCTCATTGAATGCAATGGACTTCCCCCAGTGACTCCACTGGGAATTGAATCAGGTGCTAAATAATCCAGATTTAAAAAAAAAGACAATGACCATCTGGCACATATTAATTGTGCAGTGACAAAAAGAAGTACGAAGTCTGACAAAGCAGAATGTAAAGGGCAAATAAAGGATCGGCTATAAAATTAAATATTAGTAATGCCAAAAAGTCTTGACATATTCGTGCTTATTGATTTTCACAGTATACGATAAAAGAAAACATTTTACAGACACATAAACAAATGCTTAAACATCCTTCTTGTTCTCCAGCCACATCCTCACATCTTGCCCTGATTTGCGGATGACCTGTGAAGCAAGAGAGAAGAGTAGCGGACTTGTGATGAACTCAGACTGCATCTGACCTAGAAAAGGTTTTGATAGGTCTGACTAAAGGTTTTTTAGAAGTCTTCTGCTGTGGCTATGAAGGAGGCAAAGAAAAGTTTCTTTGTCTACACCATAGCATCTGCAAAACCTCACTCAGGAGATTGCTTCTGGGGGGGCAGAGGGCCTGGTTAATCTGTGTTGTCTCAGCTTGGTGGCTGACACAAGCATCCCCTTTAATGAGGAAATCTTGTTTCTTTCCAAATAGAATTGTGTGGATCCAGACCAAACTTTATGTGTCTGGAGAGGAAAGGGGAGAGTGTGCAGAGTAACAGATTGAGAGGACAAATACTAAATCCTCTATGCCTGAGTTTTGGCTGGTTTCTCAATCTGAGGTGCTAAAGTGGTGGAAACACCTCATGCCAGTTCCTGTGCTTTGGACCCAAGCCCAATCCTATTTTGGCTCTTGAAGACCAATTGAGAAGAACTGAGTCCATTGTTGGTGAAGATTGTCAACATTTCTTTTGGGGAGGACAGAATGGTGGTGATGTCCCTCCAAGAAGCTTTTGTATTTGACATTGGCCATGTGGTCCATTATTACCCAGCATGTGATCTGTGAACATGCATAATGTTAAGCATTTGCAGAATCAGGCTCTAAAAAGACCAAAAACAGATGAGGGGAGGGAAATGGAACGTAACATACAAGCAAAGGACCCAATCCTGTTAACACTTACACACTTTAATGGGAGCTAACGTGAACTTTTCACAACTTCAATGGGACTACTCATGAGAGTAAAGTTAAGCATGTGTGCAGGGCCTTACACTGTAAATTCTTTGATTTTTTCATGTATGTTTTAAAAGCACCTAATGAAACAGGTACCTGAATAGGGCTTTTTGGTACTAATACATTATCAATGATAAATAATTAATACCCCAAATTTCTTTTTTATACATGTATTTAACACATAGGGAAACTGAGATACAGAGATAGAACCAAAACCTGTTGATGCCCTGTCCTGTGCTTTAACTACAGGATCATGTATGCACCTGATTCTGCTCCACTAAAGTAGGGTTGCCACGTGTCCGGTTTTTGACTGGAACGCCCGGTCGAAAAGGGACCCTGGTGGCTCCAGTCAGCACCGCCGACCGGGCTGTTAAAAGTCTGGTCAGCGGTGCTGCAGGGCTAAGGCAGGCTAGTCCCTACCTGTCCTGGCACCACGCTGTGCCCCAGAAGCAACTAGCAGGTCTGGTTCCTGGGGGGGTGGGGGAGGGCACATGGGGCTCCACATGCTGCCCGAGCCCCCCCCCGACCCAAAGCCCCCTCCTCCACTCCAAACCCCTCATCTCCAGCCCCAGCCCAGAGCCCATACCCCCTCCTGCACCCCAACCCCCTGCCTCAACCTGCAGCCCCATCCCAACTCCGAATCCCTTGGCCCCACCCCCCAGCCTGGAGCCCCCTCCTGCACTCCAAACCCCTCACCCCCAGCCCCACCCCAGAGCCCGCACCCACAGCAGGAGCCCTCACCCCCTCCCACACCCCAACTCCCTGCCCCAGCCCAGAGCCCCCTCCCACACCCTGAACCCCTCATTTCTGGCACCAGCCCGGATCCCACACCCACAGTTAGAGCCCTCACCCCCTCCCACACCACACACCCTGCCCCAGCCCAGTGAAGGTCAGGAAGAGCGAGTCACCGAGGGAGGGGGAATGTAGTGAGGGGGGAGCAGAGCCTCAGGGAAGGGGCAGGGCTAGGGTGTTTGGTTTTGTGTGATTAGAAATTGGCAACCCTACACTAAAGTCAGTAAGAGTTTTGCCACTGGTTTCACTGGGAGAAGCATCAGGCCCTACCTGAGAAGACTCCTGAGAAATAACAATTCTGTTTTCATGCAAGTGTCCCTACCATTGGGGGAAAAATGAGGAAGATATTCAAAATGACATATAAAACAGAATGGCTCCTAAACAGAATGTTTTTCAAAGTTTTCCCTAAGGTATCATCTGCTCTTTAATCTCCTTATTATACATTGTCTAAAGTTCAGAATACATGTAGCTCAGAGACTTCTTGCAGATTATTCCAATTCAAATCCAACTGTTTCCCAACATGTCAAAACAAAGTTAAGTAACAAAACTAGAGTTAAATAACAAACAGTGGGACAGAAATATTAAAAGATTAAGACAAGAAAAGATACATAATTGGGTGAGAGTAAAGTAAAATGGACAGTTGATGAGACAAAGCCTGTTCCAGATGATAACAGCTGCAAAGAAAGTGGGTCTCATGTCAACAGTGATGAGATTCTTTCAAAAAAGACAGAGAGGAAGTCAGTGCTAAAACTGTGGAAATAGGGAAGAAGATAGACAAGGTCCATGTGCCGCTATAGCACCATAGCATAGACACTTCCTACATCGATGGAAGGGGTTTGTCCATTGATGTAGTTGACCCACCCCTCCATGAGGTGGTAACTAGGTTGATCCAAGAATTCTCCCACTGACCTAGCCTGGTCTACACCAGGAGTTAGGTCAACCTAACTATGGCACACAGGGCCGTCCCTACCCATACGCAAACTATGCAGCTGCATAGGGTACCAAGAAATTTGGGGCACCCTACGCAGCTGTGTGCTGCATCCAGCTCCAGTGGCCAGCCCAATCCCCCGGACAGCTGAACCGGCCCCTCGCGAGCTAGGCACAGCAGGGTCCATGAAAGTTGTCTCCGCCCCAGCCCTGCCCCTTCCCCCCCAAAAAACCCCCAGGGGACTGCAGCAGGGTCAGGGTCGGGCCCGCCCTGCACTCACCGGGTGATGGGAAGTGGAGCGACCCAGCCCCAGCCACACTGCCGATGAGTGCTGGGGGGCCGTTCCCCCCTTCCCCCAAGCCTGGAAGCCGGGGGAGCAGAGCGAAGCAGGCTAGGGCTGGGTCGCTCCACTTCCCGCTGCCCCATTAGTGTGGGGGTGGGCCCAACCCCTGCTGCCTTCCTGCACTGGCTGTCCTGCCTCCCAAAGCCCTTGGGCGCAGCCCCCCTGCCACGGAGGCCTGGGATGCCCCCCACCCCCTGCAGAGGCCTGGAACACCCCCTCCCTTTGGAGACTCCGGGCCAGCCCCCCTGCAGGGGGCTGTGTAGGGCACCACAATCTCTAGGGATGGCCCTGATGGCACACAGGGCACAAGATCTTTTACAGCCTGAGCAATGTAACTAGGTCCATCTAATTTTTGAGTGTAGCCCAGGTTTGAGAAAGGCAGGAGCTACTTGTTAGATGATTTTAAGCATAAGGAAGGAATTTTTGAACTAGATCCTGAAATAAATAGGAAGCTGTGGACTGGAGTTCAGCAGACACATATAGATGTTCTGTTGAACAAAGCAGAGATGGCTCAAACCCAGAACATCAAATTCAAACCCTTCCAACTCCAGGGTATTGGCAGGGCCGGCTCCAGGCACCAGCGCAGCAAGCTGATGCTTGGGGCAGCCCTTGGAAGGGGGCGACACGTCCAGGTCTTCGGTGGCAATTCGGCGGTGGGTCCCTCAGTCCCTCTCGGAGAGAAGAATGAAGCGGTGCTGTAGAGCAGCCGCCGAAGTGCCGCCGATCGCAGCCTTTTTTTCTTTCTCTCTCTCTCTCTTCGCCGCTTGGGGTGGCAAAAAAGCTGGAGCCAGCCCTGGATATTGGGATGTGTTTCCAGGGCTGATCTAGGGTTGTCAACCCTTCAGAATTGTCCTGGGTCTCCAAGAATTAAAGATTCATTTTTAATTAAAGACTGTCATGTAATGAAACCTCCAGGAATACAACCAAAAATGCCAACCCCAGCCAGATCCAAGGCCATCAGCGCCCTATCTTCTGGTTCGGGTGTGACCAAAACCTCAGGTGAACAGCGGGGGAGAATTCAGCGCGACCACTCACACCCTAGCCCAGCCTGGAGGGACCCCAAACACCGTCTGAGCCACTAATGGGAGGCGCAAAGGTTTAAACGTTTCCCATCCACAGCAGCTGCAGAGACCGCCCCGCTCAGAGGCTCCCCGGGGACACTGGGTCCCCCCGCGGAACAGCGGGAGCGCGATCTGCCGCTGAGGCAGCTTCCAGGGGACGGGGAGCCCAAGCAGCCGCGCAGCTCCCGCTGCTGGGGGCCCCGCCAGGGCCTCCCCAGCTCGGCGCCCGCCTCAGCCCGCGCGCCTCCCTCCCCGCCCCAGAGGCGGGGCCGCCCCTTCCAGACCCAGCCAGCCGATCGCCTCGGCCCGGCCTCCCGCTGCCGCCATTCTCCGCAGCCAGACGGAGCGTCGGCCCCCGCGGCGCCGGCCCATCCATCGGCCCGGGCTCGTGGCGTCTCGGCTGCCGGCTCCACCTTCCGACGCGCCCCTTCAAACGGCTGCGGGGCCAATGCAGCCCGCGGGCTCCCCGCTGCGGCTCCTCTTCCTCCTCTCGCTGGCCAGGGCGAGCGGGGCGGCGGCGGGAGCAGGTAACGCCGGGGGCGGCCGCCCCGTGGCC